GGTGTGTGCCCTGCACCTTCCAGCCCCAGCCCAGAACAAGGCCAAGGGCACGACCCCGTGGTGCTCACCGTGGAGCTGGACATACTCCCCGATGCGATCCGCAGCCTCGGGAGAGAGCCCCTTCTCTGCCACCATCTCACTCCTCACCTCTTCCCAGGGCACCTGAATAGCAGAGAAGGGCATCAATTGGTGCAGGACATTCTCCTCACCCACTGCCTCCATCAGCCCACATGTGCACAACTTGTGTGGAACAACAGGCAGCAATCTCACTAACTGTGCCTCTCTCTCTCACAGGACTTTTTAACAAACCACCAGGCTTTGTTCTTAACCAAGCCCAAGAACACCTCAAATCCTTTACAGACCCCATCTCAGCTGCTGTGAAACTCTTCCCAACAAGAACAGCCACAACACTCCCCAGCCTAAGACATCCATCCCAAGGCCAGAAGTGTCTCCCCATGAGCCCAATGCTGACCTTGTCCAGCTTGTCCACGGTGGAGCAGGCAGATATGAGCTTGCTCTCTGGAACACCACAGACAGCAAACACACCATTCAAAATCCGACGGTCATTGACCTGGTGGAGGGAGAGGCACACTTAACTTGGGGGCACCCCCTGATGTTATTTCTTTTTTTCCTAGTGTGTGGGAAGCTACAGCTGTTGGCATTTCCTAATGCCTTTCCCTCAGCACCCAAATTCCATGCAAAAAGAAGGTGTAAAGATATGAAAACCACCCTGTGTCTCTATGGATCTAGTCAGCTGCTGGAATTCTGCACAGCACTGTGGTTAGTCCTGGAGAGAACTCTGCTGACTGCAACCTCAGGAAAACTCCTGGTATTCCCAGCTTAAGGCATGTCCAAGCTGAGGTCCAGCCTTTGCATATACACCATGAGGAGGGAGAGAGGAGGGATGGACTTCTGGGCCAGGCCTTAGTGAGGGAGCAGGTGCTACTGTGTAAAACCACAGAGCAATGACCCTGCACAGTGGCACAGAGAAGCCACCCAGTCTCACCTTGATGACAAAGTCCCCGAGCTGCAGGTCACTCAGGATCTCGTGCACGATCTTCAGGCACTCAGCATCAGGAATCATCGGGTCAAACTGCCCAGCAATGTCAAAGTCCTAGGGGCAGAAGAAGTGATGGGAGCTCCTGGCAGAGCCAGGGGGCCTTAGCCAGGCACACCCTGCTGCTCTGCAGCAGCTGGAGTGGGAAAACCCTGCTGGCCTTGTGGCCTTGGTGGCAGCACTGGCCACCACAACACTCACGCACTGGTAGAACTCGCGGTAGCGGCCCCGGGTGGTGGCCGGGTTGTCCCTCCTGTACACCTTGGCGACGTGGTAGCGCTTCATCTTGGTGATCTTGTTCATGGCCAGGTAGCGAGCGAAGGGCACCTGGCCCAAGGAGTTAAGGATGGGAACATGGAGATCCCCAGAGCTGTACAAGCTGAACCTCAAAGCCTCCCATCACCCCTTCCCTTTGTCAGCCACTTCCCAACTTTTTCACGATCATGGTGAGATTCTTGGGGTGTCCTGTGCAGGGTCATGAGCTGGACTTCAACAATTATTGCTGATCCCTTCCAACTTGTGATATTCTATAACTCTATGACCTCTGGGGAGATCATCCCCCAGGCTGAATATAAGTACAGTGAACCACCTGAGCTCCTTCAACGCTGATACAGCTCCATTTCCTCCTCCAGGCCCACTGTGTGACAACATCACATACACAAGGACCCTCTCTCATCATTCCACCTTCTCACAGTGGGATTTCAATGCATGACACTGCTATATGGACATTGAAGGAAAGAGATTTCATTGAGATGTGGAGGTTGAAAAGGCCTGGGATGAACACTTGCAGCAAACACCTTTCCAGGTGGAACTAGCAAGGTGGGATGGGCACAGCAGAGGTGGGGATTTTAAGCGTGAGGAGATAAAACCAGTACAGTGGAGCATACTGGTGCATGTCCACAGCAGGAAGGGACTCTCCTGGCCTGGCTGGGAGATGGTGTTGAGTAATGACAGTGACAGCCAGACCAGCTGGGATGGCCAAGGGGGCTGCCATCACCCCAGTGGGATCTGCAGGCAGGCCAGGGTAAGAACGATCCCTCAAGGCAGAGGTGGCCACTGCCTTAGTCTGCCACTATCCCCTCAGGGTGCCACCATCCCCTTGGGAGCACAGGATACAGTGAGGTCGTAGCGCAGGGCCAGCAGCTCCCCTCCCTGGTCCTGCAGCTCGTAGATGAGCTTCGATTCCTCCCCATACTTCCCCAGCAGCGTCTCCTGGGGAGGGGCAAAGGGGCTGTGACCAGGTGGCTCTGGGGTGAAGGGACCCCGAGATGGGGCACAGAGCTCGATCCCCACGAACCGGGCAGTACGGACATCCCTCCTCCAGCTCCCCCGGACCTGAGTCCACCTCCCTGTCCCCCCAAAAAGAGAACCACGCGTGAACGTCCAGCTGGCCATGCCCCACGCGGAGGGAGCTCCCAAAGCTGCCCCGGAGCCCCGGGGGCAGGGGCGCTCCCCAGTCGCACGGGAGGGAACAGAGGGGCCCACGGCCCTCGGGGCGGGTCCGCTCCCCACGCCAAGGGCGACGAGAGCTCCCGCCGCGCCTCACCCGCAGCTCCAGCACGGGGGTGTCGATGGCGGCCGCCCCGTGCCGCTTGAAGCAGGACACCACGGCGCCCAGGAGCCGCTCACGGAGCGCCGCCTGCGCCGGTGGGTGGTCGCGGGTGCCCTGCCCGGGATAGAGAGCGGCCGTCAGCGGCAAGGGCGCGGGTGAACCCCCGATACCGACCGGCGCCACCCCCGCTCCCCGCCTTTACCTTGGGTGTCTTCAGCACCGGCAGCCGCTCGCCGCCCGCCGCCGCCCGCACCTGCCGGGACAGGGCTCCGCGGTCACCGGCCGGCGGCCGGGACCGGGCGAAGCTGCCGCAGTTGCCGGCGAGGCACAGCGGCCCGAGGCGGGGCCCCGCCGGTAGGCACCGGGCGGCGGCGAAGGGCGCGAGGCGCAGCATGGCCGGCACCGGGACACCGGGAGCGGGGCACGTGACCGCGGCGGCGCACGTGACCGCGCGGGCGGCCGCGCTTTACGGCGCCGCGCGACAGCTGCCGGTGCTGTGCCCTCGGCTCGCCATGGCGTCGGGCAGCGGGGTAGGTGCTGCCGCCGGGGCTGCCCTCCGACTGCGGGCCGCCGGCCGCTCCGCCGCCCCCGCTGCTCCTACCGGGCTTGGCAGGGCCCGGCCGCGCTGCGCTCGGGGCCGCTGCCAGGCCGCGGGACGAGGATGTGGCGGGGCCGGGGGTGCCGCGGTGGGCGGGTGTATGTGGGGTGGGAGGGAGCTCATCTCTGCTCATCTCTGCTGATCTCTGCGCTTTACTCCTCTCCGTGTGGGCGGTGGGAGCTTGGGGTTCTCCTGATGCCTTGAGGGCTGCGAGCGGGGTGGCCCCACAGTGAAGCCCTGGAGTCACCGGCCCGGAGGTGTTTGGGGCACGCAGAACGCGGCTCTCGGTGCCCTGGCCCGGTTCACACGGTGGTGTTGGGTCACGGGTTGGACTCGAGGAGCTCAGAGGACTTCGCCAATCGCAATGGTTCCGTGATCCTCCCTTCCTAAGGCCGAGCCTCCGCCTGTCCCAGCCGGGGAGCATGAGGAGATGGAGGCTGAGGCAGCTCCGGGGTGGAGGTGCCCACCCACCTCCAGCCCCCCGGGCGGGATCCCCCCTCTCCCCGGGCTGGGCCATGGCTGATGCCGGTGACTCCTTCCTTTCCCTCCCCTCCCCAGGGAAAAGGTGACTTTTTCCGTGTCCTGATGGAGAAACATCTCTGCAATTCCCTGACTGGAGAGTGCGCCCAGGTGTGGGTTGGGCTCTGCTCCCAGACAGCCAGCGACAGGATAAGAGGAAACAGCCTCTAAAGTTGCAGTAGAGAAGGTTTAGGTTGGAAATTAGGAGGAGTTTTTCCCCAGAAAGGGCTGTCCAGTGTTGGAAGGGGCTGTCCAGGGAAGTGGTGGAGTCACCATTCCTGGAGCTGTTCAAGCACTGACTGGATGTGTCACTCAGTGCTCTGGAGTGGGTGACAAGGTGGGGATCTATCACAGCTTGGATTTGATGATTTTAGAGGCTTTTTTCAATGTAAATGATTCTGTGACTGTTAAAATGGGATGGGTAAGGTATTTGCTACAGGTGTAGCCTGAGTGGAGAGCCTCCAAGACTGGAGGTGTTGGAACACCTCCAGTGACATCCCAAAGCTGTCAGCAGCACAGGAGTTCTGTTTTTGAGGGCTTTTGGCCCATCTTTCCTTCCTTGAAGCCACTTACTGAGAAGTGAGGCACTGGCACCAGAGAAGCTGTGCCTGCCCCATCCCTGGAAACGTTCAAGGCCAAGCTGAATGGAGCTTGGAGCAGCCTGGGATAGTGGAAGGTGTCCCTACCCTTGGCAGGGAGATGGGACTGGCTGATCTTCAAGGTTCCTTCCAATCCAAACCATTCCAGGATTAATTCCGTGAAGTGGGGAAGATCAGGAGCAGGATGTCTGCCTGTGAGGGAGGTGGGGTCTGTGGCTTATTGTCAGCTGAGAATTCCTGTTGGATTGAGCCTGGCTTGAGACTCCTGTGTTGTTTAACAGGCTTTGGTGCTGATACTGGGCACATCATTGGTGTCCATCTCCAGAGGGAACAGGAGGCTGTGGGGCACTTCTGCTTATTAATCACTGTTATTAATTTGGGAAGTATTCTCTGTCATTAAAACAGCTCTGAGATAATGATTCTGGGGCCTGCAGCCCCCTTGCCTCCACCAGAGCAATTCAGAAACATCCATTCAAATATTGTCCAACCAAGATCTTGTCACGCCGTTTAGTTTAATTCCTTTCCCCACGCCTGGATGAGGCAGATTGGTAAAAGAGCTGCAAAAGACTATTTTCCTTTTATTGCAACAGGAGAGAGAAGCAGCTAATAAACCTCCCCCTCTGCAGGCTCCCACCAGCTACGATTTGTGATAATGCCTGGCATGCAGGAGAGTCTGGAAAATACCCCCAAACGTTAATTTACACTCAGTGATATTTTCTTTTCTTTTGCTCAGGGTGGTTAATAAAACCTGTTACGACATCCTTAAAGTGCTTAAGAAGCTCTGGGAATAAATGAGAATTTTTCTACGCCTCCCCAAGGCATTTTCATCCCTATCAGTAGTTGTTCGTTCCATTTGAAGGATTGCCAGAGGAGAGAACTTTAAATGGCTGTGCTGCTGCTGTAGCTCCAAATGGGATTTGTGTCCTTTGGATTGTGATTGGATTCTTGATTTGGCTGAACGGAGAAGGCGGTGGGGTGTGGGCTGAGGGGGGTCCTTCTCCCCCGGAGGTGTTTTTAAATACATCTTGTCCTTTCTTTAATGTGAAACTGAGAGGCTCTCCCTGCCATGCTGAGGAAAATGCAGCTCTTTCCAAAGGGGGGCTGTTGGCTCAGGAAATTCGGGAAGTGGCTGAGTGAAACCATAACTGATCCCAGGTGTAGGGGCCTGAACTGCAAATAAGGCAAATGCTGGGAAGGACTTGAGCTGGCTTGGTCAGAGTGGATGTGAGTGGAACAGGAATTCTTGTCCGATCACTTCTGCCCTCAGCATTGGGGACTGAGTGAAATCCATCCAAAAAAGTAGTCTTTGTTTTCTTCTATGCCAGTTTCACCTGAATTCAGCCTCATCTGAATTCATCTTCATGCACATGCTGAGTCCAGCTCCAGTTCCCCAGCATAGAAAAAGCATGGAGCTGTTGGAGGGAGTCCAGAGGAGGCCATGGATATGCTCCAAGGGCTGCTGCCCCTCTGCTGTGGAGACAGAGCTGGGGATGTTCAGCCTGGGAAGCCTGAACACCAATCTCTGTCCAGGGAGACCTTGGAGCGCATTCCAGTGCCTAAAGGGGCTGCAAGAGAGCTGGAGAAGGACTTTGAAAAAGGGCTTGGAGTGACAGGATAAGGGGGAATGGCTTCCCACTGCCAGAGAACAGGGTTAGATTTAATAGCGTGAAAAAATTCTTCCCTCTGTGGGTTGTGAGGTTCTGGCACAGGTTGCCCAGAGAAGCTGTGACTGTCCCATCCCTGAAAGTGTTCAAGACCAAGTTGGACAGGGCTTGGAGCGACCTGGGATAGTGAAAGGTGTCCCTACCTTTGGCAGGGGATGTGGAACAAGATGATTTTTAGGGTCCCTTCAACCCAAACCATTCCAAGATTCTATTAAAGTATCTGTCATTGCTAGATAGTTCTGTGGAGCTCCCAAAGGGCCAGCATGCCTTGGAGGTGTTTCTGCCCTTTCCTATGTGAAGCTGCAGGAGTAGGACTGCAAAACATGTGGATTTTGTATAGGTGCTTCCCTGGTACCTCCAAGCCCTGCATTGACAGTCAGGGTTTCAGAGCTTGCTCTGGTTTGCTTGTACCTGTGCTCACTTGGAAATCCCACACTGGTGCCTGTGATTTCATGGCAAGCTCGGCACTTTAATGCCTGCAACACGTTGGCACTGCTGAGAGCAGACAGGCCCAGCCTTCCCTGCCCCTGCAGTGTAATCAAACTCTCTGTAGCTCAGGTTATGTTTTGCAGCTTCCTTTGCCTGACATTGCAGCTTGGATTCTTTTGACTTCTGCAAGAAGGAGGTGTAATCTGCTGCTGTGTTTGTCAGGGGCCACTTCCCAGGTCTGAGATCCATCAGTTTCAATCCCATTTGAGTCTGATTTTCAAGGCAAAAGCCTGGATGATCATCTCAGGAGCTGTTAAGATCAACTCATTTCTTCTTTTAGTGCTCTGAAATTATTCTAGTAGCAGCTAGAGGCATGCTGAGAGTGATTATCTTAAACCACATCCATAATTCCTGGATGGAAAACAGAGGACAGGGGGATGTAATATAATTCTCCTAATTTACTGCACTGGCCTCACAGGCCAAGTGATTCTCCCTCTTTACCCCCTCAGAGGTGATCAGACTGTGTAATAAATGTTAATAACTCTGTTTCCCTCCCAGACCAAGAACCTGGACTTCCGCCGGAAGTGGGACAAGGACGAGTATGAGAAACTCGCAGAGAAGCGGCTCACAGAGGAGAGAGAAAAGAAAGATGGTAAGTGCTGTGCTGGCTCCAGGCAAGCTGTGCTGGATTGGCAGTGAGGCTCCCAAACCCTTGGGATTTGAGAGGGAGAGAGCAGCGAGAAGTTGAATCCCAAAGGGAAAGAGCTGGCTTGCTCCTTCTCTTTCTCCTTTGTTTGGCACTGAGTATATTTTTATGACAAAAGAAATTACTGAGAACCTTTCCAGGGTCTGACTCTTCTTTGGGGAAGGAGGGTGTCCTGGTTCAGGGCAAATTTGGGAAAGAACCCCCAAAAGGGTTCCTCTAGGAAGCAGATTCAATTGGCCCCTCCCCACCCCAACTAGTTCGGGAAAGATACCTCTTTGGAGAAAAGTGGAAAAAACCTGTTTATTAAACAAGCAAACTTAAACAATATTAAACAATAAAACTTCTTGCCACTCCAAGAGAGAGACAAACTCACAAAAATCCCCCAGGTTGCAGCTGGGCTCACTCAGTCTCTGATCAGTCCCTCTGGTGCTGGAAATGCCATGGCCCAGGCCCAGCCTGCTGGGCCACAGGTGTGAGCTGCTGCTGCTGCTCTTCTGGTGTTCAGTCCAGAGCAGGTCCAGAGAAAGGGAAAAAACCACAGTCCAGGGAACTTTTTTGCCTCAGCTAGCTAAAACTAACTAGAAAAGCAAAGGAGAGTTCTGTCTCATGGTCTGTCCGTCCGCAGACAACACAGTCCAGGAGCAGGAATGTAGAGGAGGGAGTGCAGTTCTTGAAAACAAGCTCTGCTCTTCTTCTCCCCACCTTCACTCTTGGAACAAGCCTTAAAGGTGTAAAACTTACTTATTATTCAACATAAACAGGGCAGATGATTGAGAATAAAAGCATCATACAGTCAACCTAGGACAGAGAGGAACAGTCAGTTGCTGGAAACAAGATGTCAGAATATGACTCAAGTGAGAGCTGGAGATACCTCAGAGATGTATCTGGTTCTAATAGGAACCAGGAAACAGTGGGGAGGAAATTATATCCTTTACTGATTTAAAAACAATTGTACATTTTCTGCACGGATCAGGTAGTCACAGATATCTAGCAGGCCCCTCTGCACCAAGGGGAACATGAAATCCAGCATGTCAGGCTTGACCTTTGGTTTATATTTTAGGCAAACCAGCTCAGCCTGTCAAAAGGGAACTTCTGCGGCACCGAGACTACAAAGTGGACCTGGAATCCAAGCTGGGGAAAACCATTGTCATCACCAAAACTACCCCTCAGTCAGAGATGGGAGGGTAGGTTGTGGCCTTATTGAAATCTCAGAGTCTTGCTGGTTAGACTGGGAAGCTGTGACACAGCAGGGATCCCTCACAGGGCACCAGGAGCTGCTGTCCTTCTGTGTTTGGAGTCTGGGATGGTGGGGCTGCATTTTTCTACACCTAAACTGTGTCTCCTGGGGTAACATATGGAACAGACTCAGCAGGCTGAGCCCCTTTGGACATTATTCCTTGGTATTAATGTTGCCCTCCTGTAGGACCAACAGAGGCAGATCTCTGCTGCCTGCTTGGGTGTCTTTAACCAGCCCTTCTTGCACTGAGACCAGGACTGCTGCTGATTTAGGTATCTGTGCACTGGAAATGGGAGAAACATCCAGATAGCTGTTCTTAGGAACAGTGTTTGGCCAGTTTGTGTGAATCGTGTTCCACCAAAGTCTGAAAACATTCTGAGCTCACCCTAAGCCATCAAAAGCATGAGAAGATGTGCTGAGTTTGTGTCACCTCAGGAGCAAACCTGTTAGTGTCTCCCTGGGCATAGTGCCAGGGAGATGTGCAGCCCTGACCAGCACACAGGATGGCAGTTCAGCCCCTAGCTGGACTTTTGCAGCAGCTCTAAACATGGGCAGAAAGCCCAGCTGTGCTCATCAGGGAGTTGCACTGTGAGTGATAGGGATGGTAGCACTTACCTTGCAGCCAGGTGAGAGGCTGTGGAATGGAACTGGGCTGCTGGCCAGCCCTGTCTTGGGGGAGGGCAGGCTGTATCACAAAGTCCATCCCACCCAGCGGAGTGTGGCTGGAAGGGGAAGATGCTGTGGCTGGTGTCTTGCAGAGCAGCTCAGAATTTGGTTTCTATCATGTCAGAGGGGTGTTGGTATCAGGGTTGGTACCTCCATGGCAGCCCAGCCCATTGAGCTTGCCCTTGCTCTTCACTGGGCCCCTCTTGTCTTGGAGAAAAGTGTCCTTCATCCCCAATGACATGCAGATTGTCTCAAATAGCTCTTCTGTGGGTTGAGTTTTGTGTCATGCTTCGGGATTCATTTTTTCTGTCTCTCCTGACAGGTATTACTGTAATGTATGTGACTGTGTGGTGAAAGATTCCATCAACTTCTTGGATCACATCAATGGCAAAAAACGTAAGGACCATTTCTTTGCTTCATTGGAGGGTTGCTTGAGTTGGAGAGACTATTCCTTTTGTGCATCACCCATGTCTGAGGCCTGAACACTTACCCATGGATCAGGAGCTTAGGAGATGAGGATGTAGAAGCTCATCATGAGAGCTGTGGAAGTGCTCCTCTTATCTCCTGACACCTTCCAGAGTGCTGGACCATTTTAATGGAATAAGCCCAGCAGAAGCAATGATTGGTGTACTCTGGTTGATGGACATATTTTCCCCATCCATCATGTCAGTGCTGCTAGAAACCCAGGGTGAGAAAATTCTAGAATAGTTTGGGTTGGAAGGGGCCCTCAGAGGTCATTTAGTTCACCCCCCAGATCATGATGCCTCCTCTGTAAATCTGGAGAGAGGCTTTTTACAACACTGCAACTGTAAAGAAGTACTTAGATAAGTAAAAGGTCTGGGACTGGCTTATTTTTGGATCAGAAACCTCTCATTGTAGGAGTTGAGTGTAAAGCTCAGAACTGGCTGATGCCTGAGCTCCATAGTATGGATCAGAACTATATCCTCCTTGATCTGTCTGTAGATACTGCTTCTCCTTGACATGTTCAGAGAGGGGGAATGTAGAGAAACTAAAACAGACTGACACATGTTGTTCCTGCTCATGAAGGTATTTTTGGCTCCTAGTGGAAGTCAGAAAATCACCCCTTTACAAAAAGGCAGGGATGTGTGTGCTCCAGACCTGCACACAGGGCTGTTTGAGAGCAGGAGGTTCAGTAGAAACCTGAGGACTTTTTTTCTGTATCTCAGAAAAGAAAACACAGTGTTTTAAAAACCTGTGCTTTTATGTGGATGGGAGGAAGGTGCTGACATGCCTTGTTTGACATGTTGGGAAATGAGCAAGAAGTTCATATGAGAGAATCTGGAATCAAAAATCCTGGATTGGCATGAGTTGTAAGGTTGAGCTGGGATTGGAAAGTGGCTGGTTGCACAATACCTTAGTATATGTCTAGGAACTTTTAAACCTGTCAATAAATCTGGCTCAAACCTGCTTGTTCTTGGCAGCCCTTTTACTAATTCCTGGTGTGTAGTTTAAGCTTCCAAGTGCTGCTGCATCCCTGGGACAAATCTGTGCAGCACTGCTGGAGTGAACAGGCTGTTTGGTTCCACTTAGGATTGTGGGTTGGAGGCATTTCTAGGGGTGGCCTCATCAGCATAGGCTTACCCACAAGTGAAAAACTGTGAATCTGCTCTGAAGAGCCACTGAATCAGAGGTCTGACTTTATATTCTCTGCTTTAGCTGGGAATGTCCTGTGTAATCAGGATCTCTGAGTGCCACTCATGTCTTGTTTAGCATCGCCCACAGCTGAAAGATGCCAGCCTGTCAGTTTTATTCTGGCTCCTTTTTCAACACTCCAACCCTTTTTTATTCCACTAGTCCAAGATTAAATTTCCTGAGGCATCAGAGCAAATGACAGGGAGCATCCAAATAAGGAACCTTTAAAGAATAGTCTGTGTTCTTGTTACAAGAAATGTTTGGATTGTTATAGCCATTGCTTGTGTGGGTTATGGTATCCCCCTAAAGCCCACCTCCCCAGCCTAAGAAATCCTGAGTGTGGCCCTGGAAGGTGCTTTGAGAGGGATGACAGGCAGGAAGGTGGTGCTGTGCTGTTTAAATTGGGATCAGGGATGGAGACTTTGTGCAGAACACCGCTGATTCCACTCGTGTTCTCCAGACCAGAGGAATCTGGGCATGTCCATGCGGGTGGAACGTTCCACACTGGACCAGGTGAAGAAACGCTTTGAGGTGAACAAGAAGAAGATGGAGGAGAAGCAGAAGGATTATGACTTTGAGGAGAGGATGAAGGAACTCCGTGAGGAGGTGAGTCTGGGCAACAACTGAGGAAGCAAAGCTCCCCAGAAACATGTTTTGGGTGGAAATCAACCCTGGTTCCTACTCTTATTCCTCAGAAGCGTTGTTCTTGGTAGCATGGGCTTCTCATCTGTTCCTATGAGTGGGATTTGTTTTTCTGCTTTTGAAAACTTTGTATTGCTGTCCCTGGAAACCCTTTTCCCCTCTTTCTGTGTGAGAATAACTTTGATAGTTCAGATTTTCACTCAGAACAGCACAAGTCCATTTTTTGTCCCCTACTAGTTGTGTTGGAACTTGTGTAGTCTGGTAGCAGATCTTCATCTTCATTCATTATCTTCTAGCTCTTAGGATTGCTGGAATCCTCTTCCACAGGGCATTTGCTTCTGTGTGACATCCCTGAGCGCAGAAGGGCTTTGTGAACGGTGTGCTGTGGTGCAAGAATGTGTGAGGAGGTGATAAAAGGCAGCAGATTTCTCTCAAACTGGCACTTAGATGTTAGTAAACATGAAAGTCAATCATGTGAAGACCCCATGAAGTTCTGACAGCTGAGAAGCTTCTATGGGTGCTTCTCCTCTATCAGCAGCCACATAACCCAAGGTTACAAATCACGGCCTCTTTGAGTCTCCCTGCCCAAGGCCTGAGCTTTGCTTCACCACAGGGGAGCTCTTTGGGGTGCTCCCAGAGCAGCCCTGTCCTCTGCTTTTGGGCAGGCTGTGGTGCTGCTGAGCCCCGTCTGTTTGCAGGATAGGAGGAAGGTGCCCCAGCAGCAAAGGGGGTGCTGTGGGTTGGAAAGCTGCTGCCACTCAATGGACAGCAAGAAGGAAATCAGCAGCAACTCCTCATGTAGCTTTCTCCAGGGCATGGCTGTGTCCAGGAGCACTGTGGGCAGTGATGAGAATGGTGGGAGCAGTTGCTAAGTTAGGAGCTGAAGCCATGCTTCGATGTCACCCAGTACAAACCTGGCTCTGTTCCAGGGCTCATGATCCTCACGGAGCAAAACACTTTGATTAGAGCAGTGCAAACTCTTTGATGCCAAAACCCCCCTCAAAACTGCTCAGATCTTCAGCTTCTGTTCCAGTGAGCAGCTGTCAGTCTGCCAGGCTGAGAGCCAGCAGGCATCGCAGTCACTGGCACAAAGCATCAGACAAGGGAATGGCCTCCTGCTTCCAAACCAGCTCCTTGTCTCAGCCTTGATTCCAGGCAAAACCTGTGATGTTTGCTCAGAAGAGAGAGTTTGATAATGCTTCATTTTGCCTGTTTGTGTGTCTCTGCTCTTGGCCTGGGAAATGGGGTGGTCTGGATTCACCAGTGAGCTTCCTCTTTAAGACTATAGGCCAGGATTTCTGCTGTTTATTTCCTCAGGCACAGCTTGGCTACTGTGGGCAGGATTTGTGGTAATTGTGCAGTACCTGGTGTCTCAAAACTCCTTCAGCTCAGGAGGTGCAAATTGTTTTGCTGTTGTGTCCCGTTCTGCAGGAGGAGAAGGCCAAAGCCTACAAGAAGGAGAAGCAGAGAGAGAAGAAGAGGCGGGCGGAGGAAGATTTGACCTTTGAAGAGGATGATGAAATGGCAGCTGTGATGGGTTTCTCTGGTTTTGGCTCAACCAAAAAGAACCACTGAACAGCTCCGGACTCTCCTCTTTCTCTAAACAGGTTGTTTTTACCCAGGGAACTCTGGATAATTCTTCAAAGACTTGATTGAGGACTTGTATGTAAATCTCCCAGTAGAAGTTGGCTGGAAGAGTTGAAAAGCGATTCCATACTCTACCTGTGCTGCAGATCAAGCTCTGCCTCTCATTTGCTTCCCTTCTCCTTCTGTGTCCTAGATCTGACTGCTCTGTGGCCGTATGTGTGCAGGGAAGTGCTCTGTTGGGTACATTTTTTTTGTCAATAAAGTGCACATTCTGCACAGGTGGCCTGGTTCAGGATTAATCTAGTTGTCAACCAGGCCCTACTTGTCACCCAAGCTGTGTTTGAGATGCTGGGAGGGATTCACTTGCTTTTAGGCTCATAATGAAGGAAATGTGCCACAGCAAGCAGTGTGAGAGGTGCATCTTTATGGCTTGTGCTGAGCAGAGCTGGTGGCTGCATGGAGTCTGGGTTGCTGAAACTTTCCTGTGTGTTTTATCTGCAAGGGAGACTTCCCTTCTTTTCTTTGTGTTTTAGCCCATAATTTCAGTATGTTTAAGATAGGGGAGAAATTCCTCCCCATGACTGGCCTAGGATAGAGCCAATGAACGAAAAGTGTGTACAACTTGCCAGAAATAAATGGAATGTTTTAATGGGCCCTTTGATGGGGGTTTGATGCCTTCTTTATTTTGAGAGCTTTGAAGAGTTGCTAGTGTCTCCCAGCAGCACAGACCTGGGGTGGCCTCCTAGGGACCCAATGGTGGCAGAGGTGAGGTGTGTGCCTTCCTCTCTTGGCTCAGCTCCCAGCTGCCCTAGGCAGACCATTGCCATCATTCTTGGCTTTTGTAAGTAATTCTGGAGATGGGTGTAAGAATATGGAAGGGGAAGGGAGTTCAGGGCTGGGGACCTTCATTCTCATCAGGCAATCCAAGACAGGCTGGGCTGCATTCCAGATTTTACCAGCCTTAGTGTATTAAGGGCCATTTTTTTCCTGTCTACTGGCTGTCAGTGTCTTTTCACCTCTGCCTTCCCCTAAATCCACTTCATTTCTGCTTTTATTTACCTCAGTCAAACCTTGTGTGACTCATTTCCGTCTGCAGTTAGGATTTATATTTTGCATGGCTGGGTTTTCGTAGCTCTGTCTCGCTCTCCTCTCTCTTTTTATGTATATTGATGAAATCCTTGCGCTTGCCCTTCTCCGTGCTCGTATGAAATTTCCAGCCTGGGGAAGGCTGCAGTGTTTAGCCTGCTCTTTCTAATACATCTAGAACAAATCCTGTAATGTTGTGCTGCTGTTTTAATTCCTTAATCTTAGCCTGCTGACAGCTTCATTGCCTCAGGTCTTTCCGCTTCAATTCAGATTATAATCCCCGTTGAAGATGCTATTGAAATGATATATAGCCAGTCAGATACAGCTGTCCTTGGAGGTTTGACCCTTTTAACTTGGCAATCCTTTGACTTTGGCTCTCTGAGCACACGGGCTGGGAGGGCAACTTTCATTCCAGCCACGTTCCCAGCGCTGTTCAGGCTGCAGCACGTGGCTCCAGCTGAATGGGAGAGCGGAGACGCTCGCGCCTTTGTGCCCTCCGGGGTGCGAAAGGGATGCTGCCGTGGTTTCATGCACATTAAAAGTTTAGGATGTTTCAGAGAAGATTTAGCAGCAGCCATTTTATTTCAGCCACCAGCTTTGCAGACAGCCAGCCCCTCAATGCAGCCCTTCAGTTGATGCTGCTGAGAAGGGGCAGAGGCTGCCCTGCACCCCCTGTCTTTTCCAGCTTTTGACCTTGGTGCCAGTGACTGCTATCTTGGTTTTCCCACGGTGTATCCTGATCTTCTTGTCCATCCTGGCACACCCAAGGGGCAAGGTGTGAAATGAGCAGCCCCACAGAAACTCTCCTGGGGTAGTGGTGAGGTTTGCACAGCCTCCTGCCACTAGGCCCTGCCTGGCCCTGCCTGCCGCTCTCGGTCCCTGCAAGACAGGGAGGAAATCCCTCCACAGCGCAGTGCTTTCAATAACGAGATTCCTCTTTGGTGTAAAGCCTGTCATCTCCAAGCCCATCCCGAGGCCACCTGCACCCTGGGGGCCAAAGCCCCAGCCCCAGCTCCCTGTGCTGGGGCTGCTCACGCCAGGGGAGCACAGCTCTTTGTCTCGGCAGCTTGCTGGGAGCAGTGGTGTGTGCGGCAGCAGATACAAGCTCCTGCTGGATTCCCAGCAGCGGGAGCTGCCTCTAGCCAAGGATGAAAAGCTGGTTTCATGGGAGGAAATAATATTTAGAGAAGAGACAGATAACATTCCCTGTACCAGTTGTGTTAACCCTTTGCTCCCACCACTGCTTAGTGAGGTGTTAGCTCTTGGCTCTCAGCCCCCAGTCTGGAGCAGTGGTTCTCATGACTCCTTGTTAGCATTTGCCATCTCCATGTTGAATTTAAGGTGCTGGATGTGCCCATAGGGATCAGGACTTGGGGTTTTACTTGGAAAGAGAGAAGACCCAGCTCTGTGGCTCCCCTTCTCACCAGTGAACAAGGCCAGGGTGCTGTGTCCCTACTGGTTCTCATTAGCTCTTCCACAAGTTAAAACTGGGATCTGGTGGAGTAAGGAGAGATGTGCTGCATGGTTTGCTCATCCAGGCTGGAATGTCCTGCCTACTCTCAGTGTGAAAGTGCTTTGAGGTGCCTGGAGCCAGCTTGGTGCTTGTTCCCAGTGCCTGGGCAGAGGTGCAAGTTCCGTGTGACCTGTGGGATGGAGGACCTGGAGGAAGGCTGGGGACTGTGCTCAGCTTGAGCCTCCCTCGTCTCCATCCTGCTAAATGTTCATGGTAGTGTTGTAGAAATACTCAGGTGTCACAGCAGACCCCAGAAACACATAAATCTGTCTTGCCACCTCCAATTCCTCTCTCCCTGACATCTTCTCTGGCCTCATCCTGGGAGGAAGGGCTGAGGCCCCATGGAGCAGCTGAGCATAAATACCCACCTGCTCTTTCTTTCCTTCCTGGGCACTTCCTCAACCCTGCCCTCTTCTGCTGCTCCACCTTCCTGTCACTCTCTACGCATCCTGCTTGGGACTAGAGGAGCAGCAGCAGTATTCCCAGCATTCCAGTAAGATGACTGGGACCAGGGACTTGAAGTGATTCTGGAGAAGTGGTCCCAGCCTGGCCCTGTGTGTTACCCTGTCTGGCCTAGCTGAATCATTCCCTCTGACTTTATTAGCAGAAAGACCTGTTTTTTCAGCAATTTACACCAGTTTTACATCCTGAAAGATTTAAGTGCTTGGCAGGAGCTCCAGTCCTCCCACTGCTCAGGCCACAAGCTACTGCTGCCCCAGTTAGGCAGACATTCCTGTCATTTGCCAGTGTTAAAGATAAACAACATCCATAGGCAATATCCCTGGAAATCCTCCCTCCTGCCTGGCTTTGACCTGGTGCAGTGGTGCCAGAAGTCTGTGCCACCAACCCCTGCCCTGCTGAGGCTCCTGGGTGTCCCACGCTCCCATCAGTCCCATCAGTGCTGTAGCACCATCTCACACAACTCCAGAGCCAGTATTCCTGCCCTGTCCCAGCTCTGTGGAGAGCTGTGTACTGAGACCCACCTGGATCAGTCAGTGTTGGCCCAATCTGCATCCTGTCCTGCCTTCCTTGTGTGGGGGCAACAAGGAGAGAATCTGATCTGTGCAAGGGCAAAGGTTCAGCCTCTGATTAGAGCTGGGGTTGCTGCAAAAGAGAATAGGAATCACAGGATCCTGGAATGGTTTTGGTTGGAAGGGACCTTAAAGATCAGCTAGTTCCAACGCCCTGCCATGGGCAGGGACACCTTCCACCAGACCAGGTTGCTCCAGGCCCCATCCAATCTAGCCTTGGACACTTCCAGGGATGGAACAGCCACAGCTGCTCTGGGCATTGGTTGAGGAGGGGGTGGGAGGCAGAGATAGGGCAAGGTGAAGATTTAGTGAAGGGAGAATGCCTGGGCTGGGAGGTATTTGCTTCCCATCTAGGGCCTGGATGGGAAACTTGGCTGCCAGGTTTTGCAAATAGGATCAAGCTGGGAGCCAGGGACACCCACAGTGAGGTGGTGCTTGGCCTGGAGACCTCGGCAAGCTGGGCCATACTCCACACACAAAATTTCTGGAGCTGAGTCAGCTCAGGCCACAGAAGGGGCCAAGAGGGAACAAGTAGGGCTCTTGAGTGTTACAAACTGGGAGGAAGGAAACAGCCCCAATGCCTCCCCTGTCCCTGTCAGGTCTGTTGCCACATCCAGGTTGGAGGGTTGCTGCATGGATGGTTTCTGCTGGGCTCGGTGTGGGGCTCCTGAGCACAAGGGAGGTTTTGCTTTGTTGTATGTGAAGTATAAAACCATCACCAGCCAGAGAACAAACAGCTCCAGGCTGGAGAGGGAGCAGGGAGAGGGAGATGGGGAGGAGCAGGGGGAGCATGGGGACAGGCCATCCGCAGGAGGTTTTTCAGGGACTTGTGATCTCGGAGCAAATTTCTGCTGTTGGCTGCACACCAGTGGCACCATTTCACCAACTCGTGCATGCCTGCCATGGCCGGCTCCGCAGTGCTGAGCGCCTCGGGGGGGTCAGGGCACTCTGCGGAGGGCTGCAGGAATATGGTCCCTGCTCGGAGAGCGTGTGATCTGCCAGGCAGCCGGGGAGCCCCGGGGACACTGCCATGCCTTTGTTCCTCCTTCTCTTTCTTTTCCACCTTCAGATTTTTTTCCCTCTGCTTCCAGCTGCGTATGCAGCACTCCAACCCCCCCCCCCCCCCCCCCCCCCCCCCCCCCCCCCC